ACTGCTGGGCACGGGCCCCCTTCAATACGAGGGGTCAGTCCTTCGAAAACTTGCTAGGTTCTCTCAGATATGCAGGTTTTCTTGCGTAAGATGTTTTTATTCACCGTAAGACAATATAGGTAATCATGTTGAAAATGATTCGCACTTGAAAATATCAGAGTTGCGTCACCCTAGACTTGAACCCGCTTCACTCGGGTTTCCAACGCGCACGTTACCACTGGGGGCTACCACTACTAAAAATATTGCTTAGTTTACAGTATATACAATATTTATACTTAATATTTCAGTGAACGTATGTTCGTAAGTCTCCTAAATGGTTTGGCTGATTTTGACTATGTTTTTCGTGTACTTAAAGATGTGTAAAAAGTAAATTATTCATTGTTGTACACCATTATCCACGTACAGAAAAAAGATAATAAAAAAATTAAAAAACTTACTTAAAAAGCGGACAAATTCGAGTCTAATCCTCACACCGAGAGTGTGCATCCCTAGCATAAAAATTGAAATAACTTTATAATCGCAAGATTGTTTTTTGTGATGTAACTACAACGGTTTTCGGATATTTCCTTGGGCAATAAGACAGGTTTTGATTCTCTTGCGAATGTCAAAATATGCGTTGACTTAGAATTTCTGAAGTTTTGAACACCTGAGTATTTGGTATTAATTTCAACTTGATACCATCACGCGTTCCTGATAAAAGGGTCTTGACAGACATACAAACCGTTAATGAAGTGATCCTATAAGGGTTGCTTTTTCTTTTAAGATAGAGAGCCCTAAAAAAACGGTTGACAAACGAAGATGAAAAAGATACTATCTATACCTATTTATATATATCCCAAATAAAGTTCCAATTTTTGTAAAGTATACCAATATCGTATTTGCCACTAGCTTTTATACGATTCAAGTATTTAATAATACTAGAATTGAATCTACCACCATCTTCTAAGACACGACATGCGCAATAACTTCTTCCAATTAAGGTGACACCTTTCAGAAATGTTGACATTTAATACATTCAAATCAAATGGGCATGTTTAAGTTTTGATGAGTTTACTCAACTTAATAGATTTCATTTAAAGTAACTTTGGAAGTTAAATTATAACTCGAGTTTGTATTTAGTTAATTAGTTTATAATTAGATTTTCATCTCACCTAACGTCAAATTGTTCTAGAGGCTCAATGATAGGGATGAGTGCAATCAAATTGTTTGTACATACGTTGATTATTATTGATGTTATTTTTAACCGATTTCCAAAAAGGAGGAAGTTCTTTATTCGTTAGGTAAATATGTATTTTATGTACATTGAAATATATTAGATTTGCTTTGCATCGGCTGGCACCGACTTCAAAAATATCTGATTAGGTATCTATTCTAAATGAAAACCTCCGTTTAGTTATTTTTTACATTTTAGTGCCTGGAAGTCGGTTTTTTTTAAGTTTTTTATAAGATAGATTATTTTCAGACTGAGCATAGTTGAGATTGTTGAAGTGGTTTAAAAGTTTGCGCAAGTTTCCGAGGCCTTTTTAAATTGTATGAAATATACCTTACTACTCTTTGAAGTATTTGTGTTGTGATTAAAAATAAATGAAAAAATAGATCGATACCAATTTTTAACCGCGACGCCAGTCGCGTACTTCGTTAAAAAGTAGCTTACGTTCAAAATATAAGCTACCTATATTCCCAATTTCATCCGTTGAGTCGTTCCAGCATGGAGTAACAAGCATATTCACAAGCTTTTCCATTTAAAATATTAGTAGGAGTGTAGTAATATAAGCGACAAATAAAAGCTATTAAATAACCAATTTCAATACCATTATAGAACATTTATGTTACTTTTTGACGTAAAAAATACGAAGAAGTTTGTTTATACCCTTTCTTATTTTATTTTCCTATACTAGCGACTCACCCTCGCTTCGTTCGGGTTCGTCTCTACGATTTTAGTTTAGTTACAGATTTCTTAGAGATGAGATATTTTCCCGCCCTAAAAAGTATCCTAAATGTTGACCCGGATAACCAGCTTTCATTTTCCAAATTTCATCAAAATCTGTCTAGTGGATTTCTCGTGATGCGTTCCCATACAGACAGATAGACAAAAATTCTAAACCCTATAGTTTCAGCCTCTGTATCGATAATAATGACTATTTCAATATGATTTTCCAAAAAAATATTTAATGTACAGATTCGACTTTTTTTGAATTCGAATTTTGTTATAATACCTACTATAACTAACTACTATAACTTTCATCCCCATTTTCATCCTCATAAAGGATGATTTCCGGAATAAAAAGTATCGTATGTCCTGCCCAGGGTCTCAAACTATCCCCCCCAACGTGCGTTCACCTTGTCGTGGTGGGGGGGCTCAGTAGTGTACTCACGAAGCCAAGAAACGCACAGGGAGGTGGCCCGCTTCGGTGGGCGGTGGGAGGCGGCCTTCTTCGGAGGGTGGTATACCATGCGGGTTGCTCCTGGTACTTCTCTGATAGCAGAGTGGACCGTGGAGCAACCCCATGGTTATGGTGGTCTGCTTTGGCAGACCTGCCGTCGGGGCGTCGTAGTTGAATGCGTAAGCGATCCTGCGACGCCCCATTAAGACGGGGGAAGGTTTTGTTGGGTTTTAGTGGGTAGTACTGGCTGTATTACGCCGGTGAGTCCCACACGTCGTGCGTAAATGCATTTCCCAACGTTAAAAAAAAAAGGGTCTCAAACTATCTTCTTAACAAATTTCATCTAAATCGGTTCAGTAGATCTAGAGTTTACCCCCTACAACATCACAAACTCACATCTCACAAACTCACACACTTTACCTCTTTATAATATTGAGTATAGATGTATAGATTACTTTTCCCTTGCGATTTCATTATTTCACTCTTCAAGGAAGAAGAAATGTACATATTAAGTTATGTACAATATTATTATTGTACAATGTAAATTCATTATATTAAGAGAAAATCAATTAAAGATATATTTTTATGAAAATAAGTATTTTCCAAGAATAGATTATACCGAGAAATACTCAGATAGGTACTACGAATAAAACATAATTCTATTTATTCGTAGCATATATATAATTTATTGAGTGGTGAGGGTAGTTTCATATAAAATTCAAGAAATATTCCACCACTTGAAGTGAAAACTTTGAAAGAGATTTTGAAGTCAACATATTTTTTAAGTAATTGTTATATTTAAAGTTCATTATAATAATAAATTTGAGGAACATTTTGAAACTCGTATTCAGTCGTTTGGAAAATATAATCATATGAAAAATTCGCAAGCCAGTGAGTACTGAACGCTGTAATTGGTTGATACGTGTTGAAAAAAAGGGTGAAAGTTTCTATATATACCTATATGATTCTTGATTCGGCGCATTTAAAAATTGATTAACAAAAATGTAAAAGTATATTTTTAAATTATAATAAACTTGCATAAATTAAAACTTATAAAATCTAATAATTTTGCGACATATTGCATTCTGTGGAAATGAAATAACGTCAACATTTTAAAATTATTGGTAACGAATGTGACCTGAATAAAAGCTGTGACCCGATTTGTTTATGCAATGTTTTATCATGGAGATCAATTAAAATTCGTTTTAAACCCAAACTAATATTATGAAGCTGAAGAGATTGTTTCTTTTTTTTGTTTGTTTGAATGCGCTCATCTATAGAAATACTAGATAGATTTGATTCCTTTTGCATTTTATTGAGGAAGTTTATAGGTTAAATTCTTATTTGTTCAAACTATCAATACATGTTGTACTTTACAGCAGAGAGTTTTTTTCGTTTATTTTAAAAACAAAGACTTATATCTGTATAACATTTTATATATATACTAGGAGTACCCGCGGCTTCACCCGCGTCCAAACTTTCGATCGCTAACAAAAATTCAAAGGATCACCCGCTGGGCTAATCTGAAGATTACCTGAAAATTTCATCAAAATCGCTCTAGCTGTTTTGGAGTCCATAGGAAACATACATACAGAAAAATATCATTAAAGTCGTCCCTGCTCTTAAGAGATGATCAGTGGCACAAAGACTGCAGCGCCACCTACCGGGTTCAATTGTGTTTTCAAACCATCCAGGAGCCCGCCCATTGACATATACACACAAAATTACATCCAAATTGGTCTAACCCTTTAGGAGGAGTAGGTTAACAAACACGCGCACAGAAGAATTATATATATACATATATAGATAAAATACGCATTTCGGATTTGCTTAAATAAAATGTGTACTTTATACCAATAGAATTAACATCATTCAAAAGTCAATAATAATTCTGTATTAAAAACTCTTTCAACTAAAACGAACACGCTTCGATCTTTAGTAGTTGATTTATATCCAAGTAAGCTACGAATCGTTAATCATAAGTTTTATTAAATATATTTTTATATTAGTATTTCTTATGTTGACCAAAATTGAAGTTAATAAAAGATTAAAAACTAAAATTTAGACGTTCTACAACAATTTTTTTTAAATTTCTCCTATATCTATTACGTATATACATTTACAACATACATATTTGTTTGATAACATTTCATAATAATAAGCGCAAACTTCTTTTGTTCAAACGTATAGTATCACTTCAAACTATCTATTGCATATTATGATATACTAAACACAATTTTAATTATGAATATTTTTATACTCTCCATTATTTACTGAAACCATTATACTGAAAGCTAAATTCAAAATCAATTTTTACTTAAAAACTTTAGTGAAAAAATGAACTTTTTGACTTAAAAATAATGTTATAAGAAACAAAACAGATAACCGACTTCAAAACAATCTTAAAAAATACAAAAAAATCTCATCATATTATAATTTTAATACAGAAAATATATTAAAATCGATTCCCAATCGGCATTCATATCAATACATCGATATATACATCGATGCATATATTGATACATATGAATAAGCCGTGTTAGGTAGCTTATTATATTTATAAGATATACATATTTTGAAGTTGACTTCTAAAATAACTTAATAGCTTACAATTTAAGTTCGTATAGCGAGATCATCGGGTTTTGAGCATGATGCCAGTTGTCGAAGAGGGTCAGCAGATGTGGATTTGATACAATTGTTCATATGTATCTCAGAAGACGCGTTCGAGTGATGTTCCCTCCTTTGTTGGTGGCAGTAACGGCGACCGATGTTGCCACAAAGCGATCTGTTCAAACAAAACATAATTTACATATTTAAACTAATAATATAAAAAAACTAGCAATTTACCCTGGCTTCGACTCTAATCTTGAATGGTTTAGGATAAATAAAAGGCAAACGTAATAGGGTCCCGTTTTACCCTTTGGGTATGGACCCCTAAAAATAAGGAATAGTGCGAAGAAATTTTTTTTAGGGATTTTTATTATACATAGTAAACGGACATAATATCCTACCCTCAGTATTACGACATTGACAATGATTATTTCACACTAGCTTCGCTCAGATGCAGTCCTAGATGCTTTTTGTATCATCAATTTTATTATTAACACCATGATCGTAGTTTATCTGGATAATAAATTTCATCAAAATCGGTTCAGCCGCCTGGACGTGAAGGAATAACAAATATACACATACACAATACACATACCAACGCACTTGTAATTGTAGTCCGATTTGTATTATCTGGAAGGCAAAAATAAACAAGAATATATGAAAATCGAACCTGCGACTTTCGAACCGTGTATCTATTTAGATAGTATATATATTAGCCACAATGTCGCATCTACGAAAAAATCAAACACTGTCCTCTTTATCGCCATTTAATAAAAAAGAAAGCTGTATTTTCTTAGGAAATTGATCGATTTTATCATATTGCCTTATAGCAAAAAAGCACTTTGTATTCATAAAGAGTATTTTACCCCACCTGCTATATTTTTGTATACGATCAGCGTCACCTTTTTCTTATCTAGCTCTCTCTTACACATACATATATGCTTATACTCGTTACACTCAAGTTCCTAATAGCCTATGTGTTACTCCAGGTCATAGTCTATCTCCCCCTCAACGTGTGTTCATCATGTCGTGATGGAGGGATGGACCTTATTAGCGTCTGGCAACCCAGCCGAGCGCGAAGTCAAGAGACACACACAGGAAGGTGGCCAACTTTGGTGTGCGGTGTACCATGCAGGTTGCTCCTGCTACTTCCCTGACGGTAGAGTGGACCGTGGAAGCAACCTCTTGGTTCTGTGATCTGCTTCAGCAGACCTGTCATCGGGGAGTCGTGGTTGAGCGCGTTAGCGATCCTGCGACGCCCCATTAAGACGGAGGAGGTTCTGTTGGATTTAAGTGCCAGATAACTACTGTATGTATACAGGTATTCATAAATGCATTTTCCAACATATTCCAATGGTATTCATAAATGCATTTTTCAAAAATGACAAAAGGTCATAGTCTATCATTCTTATCGTTTCTAAATATCCAAAACAGTCTGTCTAGCCGTTTTAGGAGTAAGAAACAAACTCATACACAAACAAACATTCGCATTAATAATAATAGACCGGTTATATTTAGTGAACTTGTATGTTAATTGTTTAAATTCTCCATTGACTAACAATTTAAATATGAATACACTCTATCTAGCGACATTATAGCTCGTTAGCATATCCTTTATTATATTATATATGTATATATAGTATACTATACTAAATCGTTTCAGTTCTGGATGAGACAGATTTATATATTAGTCGTACATATTAATAATGTAAAGGGTTTCAAACAATTTTCTATGGAAGCTGACATTAGGCTTATTATGATAAAACGATTAAATATGACATTTCTGCTCTATGTAAAGCAGAATAATTTAATGTAAAAGCCCACTCTTACTAGACTTCTTTTTCGAGCATTGAAGGCATCCTAAGTCACTTCCTATCAATCTACTTAACCATGAAAATTGCATTTAATAAAGCTCTCTTTAAAAACTTTTCTAGAAATAAAAGTATTTCACATATAATCTATACATATAATAAAATTCTAACTGAGTAGAATCTATACATTAAATATTTTTCGTAAAATCTTATTGAAATAGACATTACTATCGACACAGGGGCCAAATCTACAGTTTTTAGAATTTTTGTCTGGCTGTGAACGCATCACGAGAAAACTACTGGACAGATTTCTATGAAATTTGGTATGATGATAGCTGGTTATATAGGATACTTTTTATTGCAGTAAAATATCTAATCTCGGAGAAATCTATACCTACTAACCGTTAAAACGTATCTAGGCATGAACTCAAGCGGAGCGAGGGTGAGTCGTTAGTATTACTATATATTGGTATAAGCAATGGTAACCCAATGATAGCGCGCTGGCCTGGAAAATCAAGTGAACTGGTCTCGCATCTCTATTTTCGTATGCGAGTCTCATTTTCAACATGATTACTTATTAATACGGTGAAGAAACATATTGTAAAGAAACTTATGTCTGAGAGAGAAGTGTTTTCGAAAGATCAACAATGCCGATATGTATTGGTCCAGATGGTGAGCTTTGGCGTAATCTTGAAAGCTGTAGTGAAATCCCTGTAGTGCGACGTTATAAAATCTAAATGGAGAAGATTCATAATGTTTTTGAGCAGAAATCAATATTTAAGTTAAACATAAAAATAATTAAAGTTTCTTGGCGACTTGTAACATTGTTGTCTTTTATCATATCTAAAATAAAGAACTGCTTTTGTTTTTGTTATAATCTACGTATATTTTGATGTGGTTTAAAAATTTATATTACTTTCCATCTTAGGAAACTTCTCCATTATAGATATCTATATCCTAGAAATGCCTTAACTGACAGTAAAAGTCCTTAAAATGCATTATTCTATCGGTTGTTTGGTCACTCCTTATCATGCAAATAATCTATACTAATATTATAAAGAGGTAAAGTTTGTGAATTGTGAGTTTGTGTGTTTGTAACGTTTTAGGGAGTAATCTCTGGATGTACTGAACCGATTTGTATGAAATTTGGTAAGAAGATAGTTTGAGACCCTGGGAAGGTCATAAAATACCTTTTATCCCGGAAATCATCCCTTAAGGGGTTGAAAATGGTGATGAAATTTCGTATGGAGAAGCAACCTAGTGGTGAACCCGAGCGAAGCGAGGGTGAGTCACTAGTGATAATATAAATTATAAACCCAATATGAAAGTCACTTCAATTTAATATATAATGGAATATAGATAGAAATCTTAGACAGAGAATATAAATAGATATCGACAACAATGATGCTTAGTAAATAGAAGTACTGAAGCAATAAAGCCGTTATTGTTAGCAATTGTTTTGGTCTATTGTTTATATGAAATTGAATTTATGATATTAATATTAGAAAATATTATTGTTTCACAAAGTGTTCGCTTATATCTTGATGATATCTTAAGGCGATTGGACCATATGCCTTTGGGAAGATATGCTTCTAGATATTTCAATTCAATTATTTGTCATTTGGCTTTTAGATATTTCACAGATTATTTACACCAGATGACATTTGTCAATGGAAATGTCAAATTAAATGACGTGTAAATGAAAGGTTTGTTAAGAAACTCAATTTGTTTGATTAACAAGAGAATTGAATTGAACTCAATTTATGCAAGAGAGCAGTGTATTTTGATCAGGAATAATAAAATAAGAATATATAATAAAATAATGTATATATCATATTATAAAAGTAAAATAAAAAAAAAATGCTTTCACTAGTGGCTTGGTTGTTTTCGGCCACGAAATCGACACTACAATATGGGAATGTAGCAAGTTCACTGTAGTTTAGTACCTATCATTATAGATAATAAATTATTTATTGTAATTAAAAAAGAATATATAATAATATGTAGATTGTACAATCTAGGTACATTAATATACTCAGCTATTAATATCGGGAGTGATCTAAAATGAAAAAAAATGGACACATTCCAACGTTCGTCAATTAATAATAATATATAGTAATTTATATAATATAAGCACACTAACTAACCAACATCCCAACTTTGAGTTGTTAATGAGAATTATTATATGTAAATAAAAATGAATATTCGTATGTTTATCCTTTTTTTGACCCGATTGTGATGGAACTCTGGTGGGTTATTCTGTATACGCCTTTTTTTTTAACGTTGGGAAATGCATTTACGCACGAGGTGTGGGACTCACCGGCGCAAAGCCAGTACTACCCACTAAAACCCAACAAAGCCTTCCCCCGTCTTAATGGGGCGTCGCAGGATCGCTTACGCATTCAAGTACGACGCCCCGACGGCAGGTCTGCCAAAGCAGACCACAACAACCACGGGGTTGCTCCAAGGTCCACTCTGCTATCAGAGAAGTACCAGGAGCAACCCGCATGGTACACCGCCCTCCGAAGAGGGCCACCTCCCACCGCCCACCGAAGTGGGCCACCTCCCTGTGCGTTTCTTAGCTTCACGCCCGGTTGGGCTGCCGGGCACTACTGAGCCCCCCCACCAGACAAGGTGAACGCACGTTGGGGGGGATTCTGTATACGCCTGCAAAAGTTCTTAGCCCAAAAAAATATATTTGGATATTTTTCTTTTAAGTATACCTAAACCATTTAAGCGTAGGGACGCAATCGAGAGAAGCCTACTTGACCCAACCTGAGATTCAAACCCAGGACCTTCGGTTTTGCAACCGTATATGCTAGCCACTAAACGAATAAGACAATTAGATAATTTACATTACAAACCTGCAGCATGAGTCCAATGTCTTCCTGAAAGCAGCTCTGAAGTCCCTATTGAAGTACGCGTAGATTAGAGGATTGAGAGCTGAATTGAAGTAGCCGAACCAAAAGACAGCTGCTACTACTGATGGCGGCGATGGGCAGGCCTCACCGCAGAGAGCGGTTATTATATACCTTAGAACAGAAAAAAAACAGATTATTATATACAAACTAGCGACTTGCCCTAGTTTTGCTCGGGTGTGTAAATGCCTACACCTAACAATGGTTTCGCAGGCACTCGTCAAATACTTGATTGGTCAAATTAGACATTATTCTAAATCTAGAATTGTCAAATACTTCATTTGTCATATTTTTAACTCGTCAAATTAGCCTGTAGTGACATACATATTGTAAAGTCAAAAGAAAATTTGTATATTAAACATTCAAATCCCTCCAGCCGTTATAGTGTTTAGGGGTAACATGCAAACACACGCACATAAAAACTTTCGCATTCATAGTAGTCTACATACCGGATAATAGCTAGTATGGATTGCTATAATTTAACTAAATTTCTTTTCCAACATGAAAAGCAGCCAAGTCATACTTATTTAAATTTTCTACCCAGAAATGAATATATAGCAAGTTATAGTTCAGTCATTTTGGGAATTTGCAAAAACAACCAGAAAGACGAACATTGTTAACACTGTAGTTTCTATTGAAGTACGCGAAGTTATTAGTCTCATAGCGTAAGCAAAATTCGTTGTAATACAACTTTAGTTCAAAATCATGAGAAAACTTGAAGATTTGATATCGAAATTTTAGTATAGAAAATTGAAGGAGTCGTTTTAAATTTAGGTAATAATATTTTTTATAAACAACTTATATATTAGTAATCTCATAAACATATTTTTTGTTTATTCTTTTTCATCTAATTAAACTAAAACTATTGATTTTAAATTTCCATATTATTATTATTTTTTAAACCGGTACAGTAAAAACTGTACCTTATTAAGACAATTTTCTAGTACATTGTTTTGGTGAATCTCGGTTTAGCTAGCGTTAGTCATATAAATTTCTAAGAACGACTAGATAGAACCAGTTAGTGTTTTCCCGTGGGAATGAAAAATTTTCCTTTAGTAAAAGGTATCTTAAATGCGTACCGGAGTAATAGGTTATTACTACACAAAATTTAATTAAAATCGGTTCTGTACGTTTTGAATGAAACGCACACATCGATTTCGCTAAGTAACTGTTTTATTATATGTATAGATATACTAAATATCGTATTGTACACAGGCAATGCCACCATTTGGCAAATATTACTAATCATGTATTTATTCCAGGTCATATTCTATCTGTAGCGTCGTTTGATCACACACTGTGTGCTTACATAAATGTATGTATAATGAATATGCATATATAAATTTTCGCATTATGTATAAAAATATTGTATGTAATTTACCACAAAAAGAATGGCAGCCAGCAAGCTAAGAAGGCGCTCATTATAATTCCAAGGGTTCTCGCCGCTTTTCTCTCCCTCTTCATCTTATTGCTAGCCATCGGCTGCATCTGGATGCTCTGACGCTCTCTCATAACTTCTCCTACAGATATGCCGTTGATTTGCAGGTGTTTGTCCAAGAGGAGAGCTGCTACTTTGCTCCTGTATTGAGAAAAAACTTATTAAAGCACCAACTTACTATGTATATATCTTTAATGCAATAGTACGTGTGCAGATATGTATATGCTTGAGTTTGTTTTGTTTGTGCGTGTGTGCGTTCTACTAATATAAAGTTTTTTTTGTTAATTAAATTAATTAATATTAGTGCACAAGTGCCTGTATCAGGTTCCCAGAATGCATAGTATAGATATTACCATGTACGGGATTGAACCTACGATTTCCGTTTCAAAAATAAAGCCCACAAGCCGGACGTATATCTAAATTTCTTCGAATACCTAACATTTTATTTTGAAGTATTAAATGTACTCATTTTACTTTAACCTGTTATCGTGGAAAGCAATTTTATGTTATAAAATTGGATACTTTTAATAGTAAATCTGATTAGAATATTTCTAGGAAAAATAAAATACGGTGTTGAAACACGCAAATATATCGTTGTATAATGAGGTATAAATATAGAAGTGTATGACTGTTTTATTAGGCATAAGTGTAACATTTTTGAGTTTTAATAGGTGGTTTCTTTAAAATTTAATAGGTAGCTTACTGACGTTTTTGTCTATATTACAAGCGACTCACCCTCGTTTTGCTTCGGGTTCGTTGATAGACAAAAACAAATCTATCCCACGGCAACCGAACATTTTTCTGGGATAAAAAGTTTTCAGGTTTCAGACTATACTCTATCTCTGTTCCAAATTTCATCCAAATCGTCCGCATCATGAGAAAATCATTGGACAGATTTTGATGAAATTTGGTATGATGATAACTGGTTATTCGGGTCCACATATAGGATACTTTTTACTATAGGAAAATATCTCTCTGAGAAATTTGTACAAAACGTTAAAATATAAGTATGGACGAACCCGAGCGGAGCGAGGGTGAGCCGCTAGTAAGTAAATAAGATTTAAAAAAGTCACTATATAAGAAACTACATTTAAGCATAAGTATAATAAATTATACGAACATACATATATAAGATAATAATCAATATATTCGTGGTATCGTTTTCCCGGTTATTCCCCTCACTGATTCAGCTGCATTGCCCAAAACATCAAAGGCTACCCGCAACGTGTCGGTTGCGATACTTCCTTTGTAATTAATGAAATACGTATACATGCATATGTCGAATCCTACTAAGAGTAAACCTTTGATCTTTACACTACAAATTATCGTATTTTAGTCTAATAGTAAACATGTATATTGTATAGCGTTTTTTAATATACGGCATATAATATGTGTACATTACTTGGGCGATCGTGTTTTGTTCAGCGTTTTTTCAAAAAAGACACTATGTAGATAAAAAGCAAAACCTTATCTTAATACAAAATTTGATCCAAATCGTTAAAGCCGTTTCCGAGATACACGTAATAAATGTATTCCCCTCTAGGAAAACAAAAAAACCATCCCACGGGAACCGTAGATTTTTCCGGAATAAAAAGTAGTCTAAGTTTTATTCCAGACTATAACCTATCTGTGTGCCAAATTTCATCCAGACCCGTTCAGCTGTTCTGGCGTGAAAGAGTCATAAACACACACTTTAACATTTATAATATTTATACAGATATATAGGAATTGCTCATTTAATATTATAAGATAAGATGTAAATAATATATATCGTGCTAGACTACTATTTTTTATATAATTTAACTCAAATACTATATGCATATAGGAAACTGGTTGGCTTATGTATAACAGAATCTTCTCTTTCTCCCTACCCATTTCCCAATCACTTGGGTTCGGCGCAGTACATCCTCTATACTGCTGATAGGATTTGGCAACAGTTTTACTACCGGCCGCCTGCCTGACGTCAGCCCTCCTTGGGAATATATTATGTATAACAGAGTATTGTCACTTAAGCAGATAGCCTATTGTATATCAGAATTCATCTTTGGTATCTATTTCTATAATGTATTACACGTTCGAGTCCTTTTTGGTATAAATATTCATAATACTTTTCATGATTTGAGTGCATGCGTATTTTATAGGTAACAGAGTAAACCGGTCGTTGAAGGCGTAGTTAAAATTAAATCAGTGTTATATTTATTGCAAGTTTTTGGGGTGGTAAGTAGGCCGGGAATTAAAACTAGTCTATGTCCGTCCCAGAATACAATTATTGTCTTTGCCAAAATTTCATTCAAATCTGTTCAGCGTTTTAAATATAAAAATAGAATTAAAAGTTTTAAGTTATCCCCGACACAAAAAAATATCTAAAAAGTAAAAAAAATCTGTCTTAACCTTTTAAGTTTATTAAAAGTACCTATTAATATTTTGATGATGAGCGTCGCCACGTCGCGTCGGGGGACCGCTAATACTTTATCATAATCAATCTTCTCTTTATTTGTATTCTGGTTTTCATTTTATTTGATTAGCGCTTTTTGAGCCCATTTGCTTATTTTATGAGTCCAAAAACGATATATCTGCTGTAAGTTTCTGAGGAATTGAGCATTCCGCAGACTATTTGATGTTACAACATCAGCTCAAGGTTAGTATATCTTGGGAATACCACCGAAGTAACGGTACCAATATAATATAATATAATATAATAAGTATCCAATTTCAAATCAATCGGATCTTAAAGTTAGAGACCCTTTTGTCTAGAGAGAGAAGACCCTTTTGTCAAGTAGGAAATGAGCTGATGATGATCAAACGCCTGAACATATCTTCATAAATTATTACTAAGAACCATCCCGATTACGTCAGCTTTCAAACAAAAAAACGCATCAAAATTGGTCCATTCGTTTAGGAGCTACGATGTCTCAGACAGACACACAGATACACAGACAAATAACAGACACGTCAAACTTATAACACCCCTCTTTTGGCGTCTGGGATTAAAAAGTTAACAGACAGAGCTACTTTAATATTTATAATACTTTTACTACTAAACGTTTTAACGTTTAGTATAGATTTCTCAGAGATGAAATATTTTCCTACAGTAATAAGTATCCTATATGTTACTCCGGATAACTAGTTATCATCATACTAAATTTCATCAAAATCTGGTCAGTAGTTTTCTCGTGATGCGTTCCCAGACATACAGATAGACGAAAATTCTAAAAAATATAGATTCGGCCTCTGTATAGATAATAATGGCTATTTCAATAAGATTTTCCAATAAATGTATAATGATTAGATTAAGATTCGACTCAGTTAGAATTTTATTATATGTATAGATTAGTATGGATTTACTCATTTCTGCTTGTGACTTGGTCTACGCAAAACCTGTTTTTGGATTAGGATAATATATTCTATCTTTGTGCCAACTTGGTCCAACATAGAACCCCTAAACATCTTAAAACTTTCATCAAACGGGATAGTACTATAGTTGCAACGACCTATCTAACTACTGTAAATAAACCTATTGTTGTAGTCTTTCTTTCTACCTTTTGTGCATATTTGTTGGAGGAGGTGATTTAGTAGAAATCCATACTAATATTATACATGTGAAAGTGTGTTTGTTTGTCATTTTTTCACGTCGAAATGGAGTGACGGATTGGCGTGATTTTTATTGTGAAGGTAGTTGAAGAGTGACATAGGCTACTTTTTACCGCGAGAGATCATCTCATACAACCCAAAAAAAAATTATGAACAGAATTACTTGAAACTTGGTATTAATACTCTTCAATACAAATTAATAAATACGTGTTTTATTATTTTTCGAAATTCATCATATAAGGGGGTTAAATAGGGAATGAAAGTGTGTATGAAACCTACTTTTTATTCAGATTTCTTTGTAGTTTTAGCGCAAGCGAAACCGCGGATTCTGCTAGTAAATTATAATTTAATGTAAAACTTAATGATTGTTTAAAGTCACCATTTTATCTTTCGTCAAATCAAATTCAAATTAAGAGCCGAGGCTACGTCTCGAGCGGGGTCGAGGCGTCATCATGACATTCGTTGTAGATATGTGGCTTATACAGTGGAACCTAGAAGATCATTGAAGGCTTGTTTGTTGAAGTTAGATGCTAAGAACCCGCTCAATTAAACTATTAGACTTATCGTTTCAAGTTTATAACATTGTGATTTCCCTCATTAAATTGTATTGAACCTTATTTTGTGCCCGCATTGAGCCCTGAAAACGCCTACAACATTAATAACCACTAAAGATGATGTCGGTAAGTAGAATATGGATGTCCTGTCATATTATATATTATTTAAAACATATTTTACATAAATTATTCTGAAAGTCTTCGTGAAATATCATTATGCTCGACGTTGCCCAATCTTCCTTCTAATACCCTACCTTCTAATAAAAATTTGTTTAAAGGGAAACCGTGTTCTTGACATTATTTATTCAACTGCTTGAGGTTTCGAAGGTTGTATATTTAAATATCATATTTATATATTAATGTTAAGGATTTTCTTTTGTTGAAATATTATATCTTTCCTCCAATACTCTTAGAAAAAAACTGATATGAATAATAACATTAGATATTATAATGTATAATAAATATAAATAATTATATTACTACAATAAAATTTGAAATATGCGGCGGCTTTGCGACTTAATATAAAATATAGACTTTTATATATAATATGTATATATTCAACCTTTGGCAGACCATTTGCGCCACCTTTTGGCAAAAGATATTACTAACAGTAGCCTGTAATATGTTGGTCTTAGTGATAGTTACCTAAATCTATGTATATGTATAGAGTTTGTAAGTTTATGTGTATTGTCTATTAATTTATTAGAAAATACGCTGTTATAAACTGACACATGCATGCGCAATCGGGAACGAAAAATGAAAATATGCGAAAAATCCAAAAAGATAGTTTTATTTAAAATGGTTTAAGACAAATTATATCGGAGAGAAATTTGAAATAAGTAATCAGAGTATCTTATAAAAACTTTTTAACAAAAAAATAAAAACCGACTTCAAACAAAAGCACTAAAAAGTAAGAAATAACTGATTGGTAGTTTTCATTTACTATACATACCTAATCAAATATTTTCGAAGTCGGTGTGCTTTGCTTTGTATGGG